ATTTAAATTAGAAACAAGCCTGCTTCACTTGTCAATCCCAGCTCCCTCTCCCTCCCCTCCTCCCCCCCCACTAGCCCCTTCTGCTACCCAGGGAGGGTGAGGCCCTCTATGGGGTATCTTTAAAGTCTGTCATATCAACCAGGGCATGGCCTAGACCCTCCTCCATGTGTCCAGGCTGAGAGAGAGCATCCCTCCACGTGGAATGGGCTCCCAAAGTCCATTCATACTCCAGGGATAAATATTGGTCGTCTACCAGAGGTCCCATAGATTGCCAAGGCTGCCCACTGACACCCATGTTCAGAGGCGTCTGGATCAGTCCCATGCTGGCCTCCCAGCCATTAGTCTGGGGTCCATGAGTTCCCCCTTGTTCAAGTCAGCTGTTTCTGTGGGTTTCACCAGCTCGGTCTTGACCCCTTTGCTTATATGTTGGATTTTTATTCAAAATTCAGAGGAAGGTCTTGGTATATGTTTCATAGAGGAAAGACCTCATACAAGAGATTGTTCTTGGCTGGGTGTTGGTGGCACATGCCTTTGATCCCAGCACTTGGGAGGTAGAGGCAGGTGGATCTCTGTGAGTTCAAGGCCAGTCTGGTCTACAGAGCGAGTGCCAGGATAGGCTCCAAAGCTACACAGAGAAACCCTGTCTCGGGGAGAAAAAAAAAAGAAAGGGGAGGGGAGGGAGGGAGGAACAAAGGAAGGAAGGTGTTCTTATGGGAATATGACAAGAGAGAAGAGAAATAAACCCTGAGGGGTCTGTCAGGAGGCTGTGTAGTTGACTGTGTGGACCCAGTGGTTCAGTGTGGGAGCTGTAGCAGAGAGGAAGAGGAAAACTGAGTTTGATTTGGGTGACCATGACCTGGAGAGGAGTCAGCAGAGGGAGGGACAGAGAGGCCTAATGGAGACTTCAGACTTGGGTCTGAAAACTAGGTCAGTCACAGGCATCTTTTACAAAATAAAGTCAGAACTAAACAGTATTTTCTAATCTTCCAACATTTAGCCAGGTTCTAACTGAGCAGGCACAGGAGACTTGAAATGTATAAGAAATAGTTGGCAAACAAATGTGAATGAAAGCGTAACGACCCTGAGTACATAGACGTTAAGTAAACCACACATGGTGGTCCAGGATTATAATGATGAAGGAACTTGAAACACTCAACGTTTAAATGGGTTCATCTAAATATCACAGGAGGCAGGCACATCATATGTGCAGCTCTTTGCCCTGTGCCTGCTGTTGTTACCGGCATGTGTGTGTGACTTCTTGCTGGACTTTAGTTATGACTTCTATTAGCCCATCAGATTCAATACTACTTTCTTTCCACCTACAATTGACATCATCATCTGGACACCTGCCTTTTTGTTTTGTTTTGTTTTGTTTTTCGAGACAGGGTTTCTCTGTAGCTTTGGAGGCTGTCCTGAACTAGCTCCTGTAGACCAGGCTGGTCTTGAACTCACAGAGATCCAGCTGCCTCTGCCTCCCGAGTGCTGGGATTAAAGGCATGTGCCACCAACGCCCAGCTGACCCCTGCCTTCTATTGTTATCACAGTACGGAGGGTCACCAGGCATGTCTTTGAACATCTCCTCTTGTCCACTATGTCCATTTGGTACTGTCTTTTGTGAACTGTGACAGAGCTCAACTCCTAGGAGTATAGACAGAGAGGTAAATCATATCCTCAACATCTTGTGACAGTGCAGCTGGGCCTCAGAGATTTCTGAAACCTGGAAGTCAGGTGTTTCTCATCTCTACTCTCCACCCAAAAGCAGGTTTTAGAATTACAAGTTCTGATTGGTCAAGCAAAAGTTACTCTTTCAGCTAAGGGAACTGTGATTGGTTCCCTTGAGCTACACAGTCAGTTCTCCAGGATAGTGTGGTTGAGAGGTTCTTAAAATTAGAAAGGAAAGTAAGGCAAAAAAAAAAAATCTCCTGAAGTGGATACTCATAACCAGAGGCTTCCAGATGTCCTCCTTGTCCTGCCCTGCCCTGATTAATGGACGAGAGCTTGCAAACCAAGACCCAGATTGTCATAGGATGCTGTGGTAGCTAATTGCAATTGTCAACTTGGGTGTGTTAGGAAATATTTTAGTGAACACACTTGGGGCACATCTGTGATAGAGTTTCCAGAGACTGAGAGGAAAGATGGGTGCACTGAAGGTGACACCATCCCATGGGCTGAGGGTCCGGGAAATGAAAAAGAAATGAGTGCCAGCTTCAACTCTCTGCTTACTGTGCTGTCCAGATGAGAACAATCAGCCTCATGGTCCCACTGCCATGCTTCTCCACACGACAGACTCCAACCTTCTCAGAGTGTAAGCCAAAATAAACCCTTCCATCCTTATCACTTTCTGTCAGACATTTCACCACAGTGAGGAGAAAAGCAGAGAGCTCACAAATATAACCTTTGTGTAACAAGCATTTTCAGGGGAAGTATTAATAACAAAAACTACCTTTTGAGATCAGTATTGTTTCTATTTCAATGGTAAGAAGATGGAAGTTGATGAAGACAGTGACTTGTTCAAACACACGCTGTAGCATAGTGGTTCTCAGTCTTCCTGATACCTCCACCTTTTTATATAGTTCCTCATGTTGTGGTGACTGTTATTCTTTTGTTTAAAAAGAAGAAAAGAGAAATGCTGAGACATGAGACATATTGACTATAAGTTTATTAAAGTAGGAAAGAAGAGAAGCAGGAGAAGAGAATGAAAGCAGAGTTAGTTGGAACTTTAAAGGGAAGACTGTGCATGCACACTGAGGTTCCACGCATGCCCAGAGCAGTCCTCATGGGTGACGTGGTGATGACGTTTTCTTACTCATGCCCTGACTTGTCAGGGGGCAGGGTCTGTCTCTTAACGAGGTAGAGCCAATCACCTTTCAGTGACCCCCAACCATAAAATGTTTTCATTGCTGCTTCATGAATATAATTTTGCTACTCTTTTGAGTTGTAATGTAAGTATCTGGTAATGTAGGATATCTGATATATGACCCCTGTAAAAGGGTCATTTGACCCCAAAGGGGTGGTGATCTACTGTAGTAGTATTTGATAAAACTCAGGCTTAAACTTGATCCCTCTGAAACCAGCCTGTCCTGTTCCCTAACTTTGCTCTTTTCGTGTGTCATCATAGGTGAATACTACATGGCAGGGGAGCCTTATCCTTGGAAGCTAGCCAGGTGCTATTTGATGCAGCATAATGAATCCAAACAGTTATTGATTGTCTTAAATTTCCAGGGGACTCCATACTGTCTCTATTCCCTTACTTGCTAAATCATGCTCTCAGAATGCTGCACACACACACACACACACACACACACACACACACACACCCCTTTGGTTCTTTCTTTTCTTAGATAGGACAAACATATATTAGTCATCATGTTTTGTCATAAAGTGATAAGCTCTGAACAGTAATCTAAGAAAACATTTGTTTATAAGGTTATCAGAGAAAAATTAAGACTAAGACAAGCAAGGCCCATCTAAAAACTGCCTTTCCATAGAAATGAAAGATGGGAGAGACTCAGAATGCCAGTGAACCTTGTACAGGGCCAGCTTTGCCATATACAGCACACTGTGCTGTAGGCACCTTCCCCTAACCGGAAAGCTATTTTATTGCTTCAGTGTGCAGTTAATAATGGTACCTGTTTCATAAAACAGCACACATAATACGTTATTCTCCTCAGATGTCTCAATAATCTGCCCACAGTGATAATAGCTGTTACAGAAAGTGTGTCAGAGGCATAGAATTTGCAAGAATGTCAGGCAAGCTGGTGCATTTAATCCCCATCTCAACACTTATTTTAAAAAAACATAGGTTTCTTTCCAGTTCTGTGGTTGATATTTTTTCATTAGCGTTTTGACAAAAATCCATGCTTCAGAGGGCTTATGTTCTACTTGGGAGAGTCAGGTGAGAAACAAGAAAATGTAAAGTGTCATACATCTTATGATGATAAATTAAGTAGAGAAAGGTGATGGGAGGAATTTGGAGTGGCCTAAGATAATATTTTTATGAGTAGCCTCCAAGATTAAGATTAAGACCCAGGGGCTGACAAGATGGCTCAGTGTATTAACACCCTTTCTGAAAAGAAAAAAGAATAAAGACAAGCAAAACCTATCTAAAAATGCCTTTCCATAGAAGTGGGAAAGGAGATAGGGTGGCTCAGAATGCCAGTAGACCTTGTACAGGGGTGGGCTTTGCCATATCCATTACACTGTTGTAGATCCCTAGCCCTCAAACTGTTCTATTGCTTGCTCTATCAGAGTTTGAGCTGTGGGACCCACATGATGGAAGGAAGGAGTCACCTATCAAAAGTTGTCTTCTAACTTTGTTTGTTTGTTTGTTTGTTTTCGAGACATGGTTTCTCTGTATTGTTTTGGAGACTGTCCTGGAACTTGCTTGGTAGACCAGGCTGGCCTTGAACTCATAGATTTGCCTGCCTCTGCACCCCGAGTGCTGGGATTAAAGGCATGCGCCACCAACGCCTGGAAGTCTTCTGACTGTCTTAAGTGCACCATGGCACACACAAGCTCACACACATCACAACACACACACAAAATAAATATAGAATAAAACCTTTAAAAACATTAAGACCAGCATTGCTGGAACTGCATGACTTGAAAGTCTTCACCCACACTGAAAAGTATCTCCAGCTTCAGCCACAGGTGCAGGCAGAAGTCAGTGCAGCAACCAGTGCAGATGGCGTCTGACAGAAGCTTTGAACTTCATCTTGTCCACACTTGCTGCATGTCTGCAGCTGTCCTTCTTCCAACCCACAGATTTCTGGCCCCTCTTAATGTTACTAATTTGAAGCTGGGTGCTTGCATAGTCTTTCCCTGTGTTCTGCCACTCACACTTAGTAGCACAGAGCTGATGTCTCACAAGGAGAACCTCCCTGTACACTGATGAGGATTGCAAAGGTTGCTGTGGGCGGTCTTCACCAGTGACAATTCTCTTTCCCTGCTTTAGGATCCATCGGTGGTCTGTTCTTTGCTGTTGGCATTGCACAATATGCCCTGTTAGGATACTTCATCCGCTCCTGGAGGACCCTAGCTGTTCTGGTCAACCTTCAAGGAACAGTAGTCTTTCTCTTATCTTTGTAAGTAGACTTTTCTCCTTGGAATTTTTATTCCATGAACAGGAGTATCTTAGAAGAATGTGAGCCAGTGAATGAGCAGCATCACTCCTTTCAAGAGCTCGCCTGTATGAATTCTGGGAAGAGCTAAACTGCAAATGCCCAATTCTTGTCAGCTCCTTGAAAGAGAGAGATGCTAGTTAATTAGCTCAGAATGAAGGTAACTCATGTTTAGAGTAAATTGCATTTGAAAAGCCTTCAGGTGTTAGGAAATTCCTTCCTTCCCCCTTCCCCCCCATCCCTTTTTTGTTTTTTACCCCCGTGCCTTATTCTTAAAGAGCTTCAAGCTGGATCTGGCCATGGACTAGTGTGTGGCTGAGGGCTGGTACTGTGGAGCCAAGTGGAAGCGCTGAACATGTAGTGACAGCTGATCCTCTTGCATAGGAGTCTCGGTTCAAGGCCTCTAAAGGCAAAGTCCACATGAGATATCTTGTCTACAGGAGTGCTAAGAGCAGTACAAGAATAATTCCCTAGCCAGGATGGGCTCCATAAACAATCACCCAAGACTGTCACATCGTGGTGGTTAGCCACCAACTTCAGTGTGGCCAGTGAAAGCTGTTTCTTCCCAAAGGTATCAGACTTAAAATCTTTTGTGTAAACAAGAATTTCATCTGGTGGTATCTGGGGTTTCTTTTGTGACCTACAGTAAGACAGACCCATGGCGGTATCTTATTTCAGTTGCTCTTGATTTAGTAGTTCTTTGTTCATTTTCTAAGTTGAGACTTGGTGGGATCTGAACTGAAATTTGCTTCCACAGTGAAAACAAGAGAGTTGTCAAATGCAGAAATGAATGTAGCAGAATAGTTAACTGGTATTAAAAAAAAAACAAACTTCATTAAAAGATTGAGCTGTGTGAACTGTGGTGAGGTAATTTTATTATTATAAGGGGAAATAACAACATTTCAATAGCTTGCACATTGTACATTTTAAAGTAATAAAAGCATGCTTCACATAGTGCATGGAGTTAATAAGCAGTCATGTAAATATTGGTGAATAAATGAGTTTTCTTGTCAAATATTTAACAAAGCTCATACTTCTGCACCTAGCCTGGCTCTCATCTCTCCTTCAGTGCAGGCAAATTCAATGAATGATGTGAGCCATTGTGCCTTTCTTTTTTCTGAGTCTACAGTCTGAGTTAGTTACTGCTTAATGCTAGATGAGGAAGTGTTCTCACTGGGAGATGAATTCAGGGCATGAACAATAGAAAGCAGAGGGGAGAGGACTCCTGGGGTCTAAAAGTATTATCACTCCTAAATATCATCTTCAATATGATTGATGAAGTCTTGGGTTTTTATTGTTAATTTACAATCCTGAAAACATAAAGGCCAGGGAGTATATGACCACTGGGAAGAGCTAAACTGCAAATGCTCAACCACAGACAATCATGTCAGGATTTTGATATGCTTCCTACTGGTTCTTTTTCATTCCTTCTAACTCCACCCTATTTAAATTTTATTTTCATATGTTTTTGTATATAGGCACGTCAGCTCCCTTCTTTGAATTCTTTTTATTTATATTGCCGGGTGTTGGTGGCACACACCTTTAATCACAGAACTCAGGACACAGAGGCAGTTGGATCTCTGTGAGTTCGAGGCCAGCCTGGTCTACAGAGTGAGGCAAGTGCCAGGATAGGCTCCAAAGCTATCCAAGACAGGAGAGGCTCCTTTCTTGAAAAAACAATAAAATAAAATAAAATAAAAAGACTCAATCAAATTATTGTACACAGTAGCTCTATATTGCACACAGTAGCTCTATATTGCACACAGTAGCTCTATATTACACACAGTAGCTCTGTATTACACACAGTAGCTCTGTATTGCACACAGTAGCTCTATATTGCACACAGTAGCTCTATATTACACACAGTAGCTCTGTATTACACACAGTAGCTCTGTATTGCAAGTAGCTCTGTATTTGCACACAGTAGCTCTGTATTGCACACAGTAGCTCTGTATTGCACACAGTAGCTCTGTATTGCACACAGTAGCTCTATATTGCACACAGTAGCTCTATATTGCACACAGTATCTCTATATTACACACAGTAGCTTTTAACAGAACAGTGTTGACTTGGTTGTTTACTTACTAGTCAATAACAATAATCAAATGACAACAAGGAGGTCACTAGACTTTTATAGATGACTTTGATTGGCAGTTCAGTGTTGTGCATAAGTGTCCTTGTCCCCAGTGGGTAAGTTCTATGAAAGCTGCTTTTTGTCCCAGCATCTTTCCTCTCAGGACACTGAAGTTGGCACATTGGATGGCTGGAGTATTGTGAAGCAAAGATGTGTTATACTGTTTCATGCTTCTGTGTAATCTTAAAATAACATCTCCTTCCTAAATAACATGCCATTATGTTAAAAATACCTTTGAAATATTTTGTTTGATTAGATAATAAAGACTTCTATCTCAATGGTGTGACTTTTCCAGAGCTTAAGAACCCAGTTGATTAGGCATGGTGGTGCATGTCTGTAATCCCAGCACTCTGGAATGTTCAATTCAGAACTATCTTGGGCTATGAAGAAAGTTTAAGGTCAACCTGTTCTACATAGTGAGACTCTGTCTCAGAGAAAGAAAAAGACAAAAATATAAAGTGAGGCTGTGCCCACTGCTATGTTGTCTACCAACCTCTAGTGGGGATTCAGAACTGTGCCTGACCTGTGCTCTGTGTGCCATGTGCTTGCTTTAGCATGGTAGATTTACCATTCACTTACTGAAACTTCTTTAAGAAGAGATGGAAACTATTTACCTTTATCAAAACAATATTTGAAACATAGGTTCTCAGTTCCAACTAATAAAATGAGCCACCACTTACCATCGCCACAGTGTTCAGGGTAGCCCCCTCTGTCCCCTCTCGTGTGTCACTGGGGAAGTCGTACTTTATGCTTGTGATGGAACTGAGCTGTGTTGAGGGAAGCCACCTACAGAGGGGGTGATTGTCTCCTTCCTCTGCATGTGCATCTGTATGAATATCCAGCCTTTAATGACGTCTCTTTCAGATTCATTCCTGAATCACCTCGTTGGTTATACTCCCAGGGTCGACTGAGTGAGGCAGAAGAGGCTCTGTACCTCATTGCCAAGAGGAACCGCAAGCTCAAGTGCACATTCTCACTCACACATCCGGCCAACAGGAGCTGCAGGGAAACTGGAAGCTTCCTGGATCTGTTCCGTTACCGAGTTCTCCTGGGACACACTCTGATCCTGATGTTCATCTGGTAACTCTGAGAGGTGTTGGGGATCTTCAGTTTGAGGGCTAAAGGTCCCTTGATAGCCTGCTCCTTCCACAGGGCTGCAGAGAGACTGACCTCTTGTCAGCATAAGGTTGTCTTGTTAAAAACAAAAGCCCCCGCCCTGTCCCTCAGTGCTTTCTGTGTGCAGTCTCCTGCTCTCTTGGAAATGTTCTGTCTGGTACCGATAAGTTCCCAGGAGGTTGAAGGAATGGACAAAACCACACATCAAGTCAGTAGATGAAGGGTTAGCACTCTGAGCCTGATACTCAGTTGCTTCGTGTATTCCAGCCTGTCTCTCAGAATGCTCCTGAGTTATATAAGATGCTAGGTGACTCCTTTTAAAGAATGAAGTTTCAGGGAGACAGTTGATGAGACTCATGTCCCAGCGTGTGATAAGTGCACAGTGAATGTCAAACATGGAGGCTGAACCAAAGCCGCAGTGTAGTGAGATCTGCTCATTGGACGTTCTTCCTAGTTAGAAGCAGATCCCGAGTGCACAGGAACCCAGAGCTCTAACCACTTCTGAGTTTTCTCATCACATGGCCCATCGGCTACTTTGGAGGAAGCACCTACTTGTAAAGCTACTTTTTGTGGTATAAGGAAGTCAGCCTAAGGTATTATATATGGTTGGCCAAATGTTCTACCACTTGTCTCTGAGCTGTATCCACAGCCCACTATAGCCTGTCATTCACAGCTTAGGACACTTGGCCCGCTGCTATGTTTTTTGGCAGAGGGAAAAATAAAGTGTTCCCTTTGCCATTTGACCCCAATGCAGCTACAATGTGCCAGGCATTTTCTAGGGAAAACAAAATAGAAACAAACAAGGAACCTCTTTAGCAAGCACTGGCCATGGTCAGTAGCAAAAGATGAACTAGTGACATTGGAAAGCCCAGGTAATCTATTGCTTGGGTAGGAACTTGTGGTTTGTCAGCTGTCTTCATATACTAGTAAAGACCAGCCTCATGGTTCTTAGAACCATCTGTTCTATGTTGTGATTTGATTTTAATACAGCAGCTTTCCAGACACTGATGTTTCTCTTACCACTTCACTGTGATTTTGAGCTTCAGGTTGGCACTCAGTTGAGCTGAGCTCCTTGGTGCATCATTCCCCACTGCAGGAGACAGGCATGTGTCTGATCCAATACCAAAGCTACAAGGTCCTCCCTAAGTGTAAATTTCGGTAATGGTGTGCAGAAATTAGTTAATGTCACTCAAGAGCCTCCTTCCCTGTTGATCTTTCCAGAAGGCCCTGCTCTGTTGTGACCCTGGCATTTTCTTCCCTAGTCTTGTCTCTATAGTATGTGTGCCTGCTGAAGACTTTGGACAGGAAGTGACTAGGGTCCGAGGGAGATGGAGAGCCCAGCATCTGTGGCCTGCAAATGACCCACCTGAGGATCCAGTCCATTCTCTAGCCACCCCATGTTGGCTTTCCCCACAGGAGGCTTAGTACAGCCCTTCTGAAATATCAAAAAGGCCACAGGCCAGTGTTCCTTAGATTGTTGAACCCAATAAAGTAAGAATAGGGCCATTGTTTTCACTTCAGTGCAAAATGCTTGAGGAGGCAAGAACAATGTCTTTCCTGAAGCAGGGACTATCCATTCATTTGCTTTATATAACACACAGACATAAATCACTCCCAAAGCCCCATTATGCCTTTGTTTCTTAATGGGATGAAAGTTTAGATTAAGATAGAAAGCTCAGTGGGAGAGTAAAACTCATTACTTGCAGCAGAGGGTTTTATGTTGAACTGGTACTGTTTAATCTCTACTGGAAATCTGGTTTCTGCCCTATGGACTTTTCTCTCACCTCTCAGGCCTTTGATCCCTGATGCAGGTTTGTGTGCAGCTTGGTGTACTACGGCCTCACCCTGAGTGCGGGTGACCTAGGAGGCAGTATTTATGCCAACCTGGCCTTATCTGGCCTCATTGAGATTCCATCCTACCCTCTCTGCATCTACCTGATTAACCAAAGATGGTGAGTATGGATGACAATGAGGCATACCATAGAGGCTATGCATTGGAGCACACACACATTCTTCCCATACGCACATACCTAGTTGTTATGCTCTTTGGTCATAGACAGTATATGGCCAGCACTGTCCATCAGAATTTCTCTCAGGCTAAATGCAGCTAAGCTCACTTTTTATTAGTGTGGTTCTTGAGTTTTGTGTATGTGAATGCTTATGTATGCTTTAACTCAGCGTAAAAGGTACTACTGTCTGAGGGGTGCTGAGTAGTCTATGCAAATTCATAGGCCTGAACAATGTTGTTGTTAGCTCCACGTAGATAGAATCCCATCAACTCAGAGTTCAGAGGTCTTATAAGCAGGAAGACAAAACCAGACAGAACTAAAAAGAAGTCCTACTGCCTAAGAACTACTTAGAAGGGGCAGAGTACCCTGCTTTTGCTGCTTGTGAAAGGGAGTAAAATTTCAAGTGTTATATTCTAGAGATCTGCATCCTGGTCTGCTTATCCCTCTTGTTATGGTGAGCTAGGAACCAGTTGAGTTGTGCCATTTCTTACTGTCTAGACATTATCATTTCAACCCAAACTATAACATTGCACATCCCTATACTATTAATCAGGAAACCAAGGTTCCTTTGGGGTTATTTAGACTCATTAATAAAAGAATTTAGGAACACTTGGAAGTAAGCTTAAGGATTATTCTCTTAGAGTTTGAAAGAAAAATAACAGGGCAGGCAGAGTGGAAGTTCAGGCAGAGGGAATATAGAGAATGCAATGCCTTTTGAGGATAGGGAAACAGTGCTGTCCTGAGTGCCAGAAAAAATGTGCTTAGTCTTTGGCCAGTATCTGAAGGAGAGATGAAGAGAAGGATCAAGAAACAATTGCTAAGTGCCAGGTCAACCTGTTCCAGGTTCTTGTTTATTTTTATTTTGAAAGAAAAAAAATAAAGAGGAAAGCATTTGCTGAGCATAGGAGTGGGATAATGACCAGAAGGAAAAAGCCAGAAAAGCACTGGGCCATGAGCTGTAATATCCTGACTCTCCTGTCACAACTGCCAGTCTGCCATGGCTGAGAATCCTGCAGCCCAAATACAGGACTCTGTTCAGTTGGAGGTTTTCTCCTGGGCAGCAGTGCAGTTGCCTTGTCTGTGTCTTCTGGCAGTGGCCTTCACTTATTCTCATCATGGTCCCAGAAGCAGGCCAGTCATTGCACTCAGCATTCCTGTAAGAGTGCATCCACTTCTTTACAGCTACAGGTTCCTGTGTATGCCTCTGATGGGTACTTTTAACATCACCAGGAAACTATTCACAGGAGTAGCCTTTGCCGAGGGTCTGCTTATCATGGTCAATGTCACTCAAAAGCCATTCCATGCTAGATGTTAAAAATAACCCAAAAATAGCTGTCAGAAAGAAAAGAGACCTTTCCTGATTTCCCACAGCTACTGCCTCAAGGCAGGGCTGATATCGGAAGGGGAGACCTGGGTTTCATTCTAGTCTGAGTCATGTGTTAGCTTTCTGAGTTCAGTAAGTTTCCCCACTAAGCTTCCATTTGTAATTATTCTAAAATAAACAATTATAAAATTACCCCGACAAATTAGTTATCAGAATTACAAGTAAATACTGAAGTTCTTAGGGGAGAACCTGGCCTGTTGCTGTCCTTTGGAGAATGGATATTAATGTAGCATCTTTCTTCTAACCCTGGACCTCTTATTTGGAAATTAAAGTATGGAGTACATTTTACTTAAATAGAAACCACTAACAGTAATTTTTTTCCTGTTTATATTTCTAAAAGATCAAGACAAAGACAAACAAACTAAAAGGCTTACCAAACCCTGTATTTAAAACTTCCAACCCCATAAGAGTCAGGTAACCAGAGAATAAAACAAGCTATAGGACTCCATTCTATTTACTAGATTCTGTCTCTAAAAGATGGAGAGTGAAACATATTTATCATTGGGACTGAGTGAGGTAACAGGTGTCATGAATTTAAGACATTCTTGCCGCAGGGCACACTCTGGGATTCTATTCCCTTCCGTGTACATGATCTGATCCTGCCATCTGGTGGATTCCTTTTTCATGCTTATTTATATCCTGATCTATCTCCTGACCAGCTACATTTTCCACCCACTCAAAAAAATAATTCAATCAAGGATGCTTAAATAGGAAAGTCAGAGGAAAGGAAAGATGACTTTCTAAAGAGAAACGTGATTTCCTTCTATTCTTTAGGTTTGGTCGGAAGCGGACACTAGCAGCATTTCTGTGTCTTGGAGGACTGGCCTGTCTTATTGTGATGTTTCTTCCAGAAAAAAAAGGTATGCCTTTCAAATTTCCATGAGGATTTTGAACAGCACTTTTATTACAATGAGTCTCAATATAGTAAAGGGATTACCATATGCCATGCTTCATTTCTGTGATTGCATATTATTTAGCAATTGTGTGAGCTATAATGGGCCAGATTCTTTGCATTGCCTGTACCATTCTCTGGGTGAATAATGTGCTCGGAGGTGTGCTATTAATTCTTTCAGGCTATTAAGCTACCATCTGGGGTGTCTGGGATGCAGTGCTGGTGATGTTAGAGTTGCTTACTTGATGATGGGGAGGCCAAGGCCTCTTCTGCACTAAAAGAAACTCCTACCAAGCTGCAAATGAAACTCCACACTCTAGCCAGTATCAGGACTGGAGATTGGACACTGGTTCGCAAATGTAGCTTGGGAACCCCTAAATGTCTCCATCTGGTATCCTGTGGTAAATAATAGTAACAACAATGCCATAAGTGCAGCATTCACTATCCATCACAATGGTTGTGCTCTTGGCCGTTTTTAAATGTGAATAAGGGCTGCTAAGATGACCCCGCTGGTAAAGGCCCTTGCCACCAAACCTTATGACCACTAGTACCTATATAATGGAATTGAGAACAATGCCCCCACACAAACACAGGGAGAGAAAGAGAGAGAGAGAGAGAGAGAGAGAGAGAGAGAGAGAGAGAGAGAGAGAGATATGGATGGATGTAATTTAAAAAATAAAGTGCAAAGAAAGTAATAAAGTATATTTGTAGGAAGGAAGCTTTGGTAGTTTTATAATTCTTTAGCTTTTCTACACAACACAGCTACAGAAGATGTTCCTTTGGGTGGTAATGGAGCTCAGTTGGTAGGGTGCTTGTCTAGACTGCATGAAGCCCTAGGTTCCATCTTCAGGACCATATAAAATTTAGACATGGTAGCAAATCTGTGATTGCAGAACTAAGGAGATAAAGGCAGGAGGATGGGAAGTACAAGAGCATCCTTGGCTACATAACAAGTTTGAGGTCAGGCTGGGATACATGAGACCCTATCTAAAACTAAGTATCTCTTTGTCATTCCATTTAACATTGTTACCCCTATATGGGAATTCTGTAGAACCAGATATGGCAGTGTGTGCTAACAGTTCCAGCACTCAAGAGACTGAAGCAGCAGGATCCCAGGTTTAAGGATAACCTGGGCTTATGTAGCAAATTAGGGGCAGGCCTGGGATGCTTAGCAAGATACTCTCTCAACAATGAAAAGGAAGAGAGTCTGTAGATACATAGGTGCTTGCAAGTTTCCAAGCCTTTTTTGTTTCGTGTTCCTCTTTTGGTACTTGCACATTGGCAGTATGACAGTTCCTGCTCAGGGAGATGTGGTTATTGGTGAGAACACATGGCAAGCAACACCCTGCACTTTGTTTTAGAATTTTGATTGCTGTCAAGTGACTCTTGTGCTCTGGGTGAAAATCATTAAGATAGGCATAAAGTTTGGTAACTTCTAGAAAGCATGAACTGTTCATTTCCCATCAGAGCAGCCTGCATGTTAAGTGCCCCTCTGAAAGTCGCTACTCCTTGAGGTTCAGTTTTTCCAGGGCCTTCTCTGGAGCCTTTCAGGTTACCTATACTTACTTGCCTGTTCCACTGTCAGTCGCCACCCGAAGTTCTGTGCTGTGAAACACAAACTGTCCCTTATCTTAACAGTGATTCAGGCCACGACTGTACCACAGCTTTATCAACTCATGGAAACTAGAGAATTTAGAATATTTGCCCATTTCTTATCCTTCACTAGCACCAGAACCCTCATGTTGTTTGTCTAGGGCAAAAGATAAAGGGCTTCCAATTGTGGTAGCTTTCTGCTCAGCAGACCCTGTTTGTATAGGCAACTTAGGAACGTAGTTTTCTACCAAAACAGTCATAGTTTTGCATCGTCTCAGACAGCAAAGCTTTGGTCTATTACCGTAAACATTGCGGTGTCTCATCCCACCTCTGGAATCCAGGCTAAGGCATACGTTTTTCCTCCCTTATTTCCTTGTACATTCAGGTACCCCACCTCTAGGACTCTGCTCATGACCCTTCCTTACACACATGAGCGATCCCCTATCCAAATTAGCCATTTCTCTATCTCCATCTGTCCTGACTGCTGAACCTCTCTCTGTGGCTTGTGCCCCTTGGTGGACATGGCTTGGACACGGTGAAGTGGTGTTTTCCACAGGCTTAGAGAATATAACACTGCTGTTATGCTTAGAAAAAGTGGACAGTCTGTCAAGTTTTCAAGATTTCCTCCAAAAGAAATTCTATAATGTCCCTTGGTTAGTGATTTCTGTTTTAACAACCATGACTGCTAGAAGGATCCTCTCCCACGACGATGGGGCCTATTTCCTTTCATTTGATTCATCACTGGAAAGAGAGAACAGATGGGCAACTTATGTGTCCATAATCCTTGCTGTTCTTTCTGGAATTCTCTCTGAACTTCAAAAAATTCTTAAAACTATTCATATTTATCCTTTAAAATGTTTTGTTCAGTTTCTTTTTAATCTGTTTTTCAGAGTTTTACACTATAGGTTATGAAAGTTCTGATAAGTATGTATTAAGAGGAAGACCTGGGAGTTTCTCTCAGCAGCTCGTGTGAGCTTGAAGAGCACTCTCTTCTCCACTGTGCTCCTGTCCATTCCCTGAGTCTCCCCGAGTAAGCACTCCACATCTGCATTCTCCCCTCTCTGCCAGCTCAGGTGCCCATCACCCACTGGTTTCTTCATAACATCTGCATATGACTGTGGCTGTCAGTTTCTGGACATTTGTGGATACTATGGTTTCTCTAGGAGACACAGAAAATAAGCTAAAGATCAAATGTTTAGTATCTTGCAGTCCAAGATTTATAATTATAAGCTGAATATCCCTAATCCAAAAAGCTGAAATCTAAAGTGCTCCAAAATCCAAAAACTTTCAACACTGAGAATTTTGAGCACTAACAAACACAATGTCCCACTTGGAAGATTCTGCACTTGACCTCATGTGATAAGTCACAGTACAAGTGCACTGAAAGTATTGTATGAAATTGCCTCCTGGTTTTGTGTGTACAGTGTTTATAAATCACAAATAAATATCCTGCTTAGGCTTGGGTCCTCAAGACATTTCACTATGGATGTGCAAATGCTCCCAAATCTCCCCAAACCAGAACACATCTGAACCAAGTCCTTGATCACAAGGCCCCTCAGCCTGTGTTAGAGAGACGTTTCCTATCCATGTGTGTGTTCTCCTACTGGTTAGCAGGGGCCACTTATAATTTTTTACAGATTGGTCAGCAGGCATTTTCTTGGTCTATAGTCTTGCTTAGAGAAGGGTCCTAATTAATCTTACCTCTTACAGTATTAGTTGCCATTTATAGTGTGTTGACTAAGTGCTCTATCTCCATATGCAGAAGGTCATTGTGTGTCACTTATCACAAAAGGAAACTAAAATTCAGACATGTCCAGATTTTTAACAAGGAGCTGGAATTCCAGGCCTTCCTGACCCACAGCCATGTGCAGAAAATCCAAAGAGGAAGCATGCAGCATACAAAAGCAATAGTGATGGGACCAACAGCAGACTGAATACCATGGAAGAAGAAATCCATGAATCGCAGACATAGCAAAAGAAACAGTTCACCATGAAATGTAATGCAAATACAAACAAATTGAATAAAATCTAACAGAGCACCAGTGAGTTGTAGGAAAACATCAGGTGGCTTGACATGTAACTATGGTCTCAAGGAAAAATATTATCTGCAGAAGTGATGACTAAAAGCTTCATAAATTGATAAAAATTTAAACATATGATCAGAGTGGCCAGTTAATGGCCATGCAAGTATCTCAGATGTGTGTGTGCCTCTCATAAAACATTCAGAGTACCCAAAGCAAAACTGTGCAGAACTAGACTTAATCCTTCAATAGCTGATGCAGTGATTGATTGAAAAAGTAGAAAATCGAGACACAACCAGCATGACCCAGCTGATTTGTCCACACCTTACCCTATTGCAAGGGAACATGACTTCCATGCAAAGAGCCACAGAGCGTCTACTGTGAGATCCTGCAGTATGAGCCACGACACATGAAAAATAGAATTAAAAGGATTGATGACTCCTAAAAGTATTACTTCAGAATGTAATTAAACTAAAAATTAATAACAAAAAGATATCTGGAAAATCCTCAAACATTTGGATACTAAACAATACTCTCTTAAAAACACACAGGTCAGATAAAAAACAAAGGAAGTTAGAAGATATTTTAGTTAAACCATAAATTAACCATGTAACATTAAAACTCATAACATGTAGAAAAAGCCAGACTTAGATATCAACATCTATATAATTATCAATGATCAAGAGAACAGATTAGTAATCTCAACTTCTGTCTCTAGAACATAAACTTTAAGAAGAAAGTTAAACAATGCAATCAGAAGAATGGAAATTATAAATATAAGAGAAAAAGCAAGGAATGAAAACAGAAAAACATAGAAAAAATCAAGGATATCAAAAGCCTGTTGTTGTTTAGGACCAATTAAAATTAATAAACCTCCAAACTAATAAAAAATAAGAAGACATGAATCACAAATATCAGAAATGAGAATGGGACCATCACTAAAGAAATTTTAGGCATTACTGAGAAAATGTTACGAATATTCTTACACTAGTAAATCCAATTTAGGTACATTAATGACAAAATGTTACTAATATTCTTACACTAGTAAATCCAATTTAGGTACAGTCTTTAGAGAAACAAACTAAGAAAGCGTATGTGAAAGCAGGCAGATGACCTTTGCCTCCCTTTGTCTGCTAGAGAAATTGAATGTGTGGTCAGAAACATTCCCACAGAGAACTAAAAGCCCTGGTGACTTTGCTCCTGGGTTCTATAAAATATAAGAGTAGAAATTCCAATTCACATGACTTCCCAGCAATTCAGATTAGGTCAGCAATTGTCCTGAGGCTTAATCCAAACAAAAAGTAAGCATTGCCCCTCAAATACAAGCACCTCAAACAAAAGCAAGCTTTACCCC